ATGATATTTGACATTGCACATATGAGGTCGAGATCAATTAGATAAGAGCTTTTGTGCTTTTAGTTTTTGACCAAGGTGGCGAGTGTCTATTTGAGTTATTTTTTTAGAAAAACTCTGTGAAGAGAAATGGATGCTTAGAAAATTGATTATTCCTAGTACTCAACAACACAATGGTGTAGTAGAGATAAGGAATTAAGTATTGTCAATGTAAGGTGGATGATGGTGCAAAATGCTTCCCAATTGGGAATTGCACTAGTTTGTTGCCTATATCCTTGACTAAGTGCCCTCCATATCAGATTTTACACTCCATTTGAGTAATGGGTTAGCGGAGAGCCATCTACGGGTGATTTGTAACCGTTAAGCAGCTTATCTTTATTTTACTTCTCATAAGGTTGCGAAGTTAAGATCTAGGGTTCTATAGCGCATTATTATATGTTGTCATGTAAACCCTCTGAGTCATATGCATATAGGTAAGCAGCTTTGTGGTAGTGTAACTAAGTCACATAAAGTTTTCTTAGTCAAGGTGACGTGAATAGAGTTTTGGAACTCTACAAGATAGAGAATTCTAAGCATAGCACTTTTATGTAGCCTAGTTGAGAATGGAAAGAAATTTCCAATATCCTAGGGAAGTGGGAGCGATGTGCCTACTAATGGATTACTCCATTAGAGAAGAATACTCTACATTCTTAGCTGCGTGGTAGCAAATGTGAAAATTTTCCACGTCATCACTTGGTGATTGAGAAGGACACATTCATGATTGCTCTGCAAGATGATAAAGAGCCTAGGATAATGCCAAAGGCTCTAGTTCCCTGTTTTTAGAAAGTGGATCAATGTTGCATAGTTTAAGACAAAGTCTTTAAGGATTAACCATTTCTATAATTTGGTTGACTTTCCATTATGACGCGAAATTGTTCTAAAGTTATGCGTAATTTGGATAGTCATTGTTAAGCCATAAGGCTCACTAGATGCCGAAAAGTCGCACCATTGAGGAAAGTGTAGACTATGAGAACATTCCTTCTGGGGAGTGAGGTTATTTTGACTTAGGCTATGATTGACATAAGTTTGGAACATTGATTTGTGGACATTGTGACCCAACTTTCTTGTTGGAGAATTGGATAAGTAGATCCGTAGGGATTTACCTTCTGCTTTTATGGTGAAAAGTTAGGAGTACAAAAAGGTTGCTAGTTCCAATAAATCTTTTACAGTCTAAAACAATTATCCAAATAGTGGTTCTTAGATTTCGTCAAGCCATGATAGGCAAACGATGATCGATGAAGACCACTGAGGCATGATCAATGGTTCAAAAAGAAGTTTTTCCTTACTTAGTCATTATGAGCCAGGAATTTATAAGGTTGTCGCCACCTAGGGTGGGCAGTCCTCTATTTAGATATGATGGACATGGGTGACGTAATTTATATGCTCAGATGTACGATCCTTAGGGATTGTTTTGGGAGAATTCCCGGTTTGTCTTCGATGACTTACATAAAGAATATCCTAGAACGATTCTAGATGCAAAATTGCAAACCCATTGACTTACCTATTGGTAAACGCCAGAGCCTTAGCTATTGAGTGAATCCTTGGATTGTCTTTGAGAGAAACAGATGACTTATATTCCTTGATTTTTTTTTTTTGTGGTGGGAGCCTGAAGTACGCTATGTGGGCGTATTCAGCATGATAAGTGTTATCTTTGGTAAATGTCAACTAAGTAGTTTAGACATTGACCTTACTTATTAGACTGTGGATAGAATGCTTTACTAGTAGTATATTAATTTGCTCCTTGTAGGATTCAATGCGCTAGTGGGGCGCATTTTGAATGGAAGCAGATTGGCTGCCAAAATATCTTTAGAGAGGTAATTGCGAAAGAAGTAGTGATCTTGAACCACTTCATGTGAGGCGCAAATGGTGGATTCCGTTGCATATGCTTATCGCAAAAGGTGCTGATAAGGCTTATGCTTGGAATCTAGAATTGCGTAGACTGTGGTCGTGTTTTTTTTTAAAAAATCGATCACTTGTTTGTTATGAGATGATGAGATGTTGACACTATTATGGTTTGTGTCACAATGATTAGCAGATGATGATGTCAGTAGGCAAGATTGGTTCACTCACATGAGCAATCGTCCTTGGCGCTTGGGAGCGAGCAAGGATGAGACTAGTGGTTTATTTTTATTTGGAGCCAAGAGAGGCTTAAATTATCCACTATTTATGTTGTATTGGTTACAACCAAGATGAGGTCGTGTTAAGGATCAAACATGGATGTTAGTACCCACTTTCCATGTTGTGCCTGTTATGATTAGCCAGATGTGAGATCTCATTTGGCGCCAGGAAGGCAAGCAAATAGAGAATTCAAGTTAGGCGCTAGAAAGCGACTAGACTAAGATCTGTACGGTGTATCGAGTATGACGTCACTCTTTTGGAAGAGTTACTCCACCGTAACTTGTATTCATAGTATATGTGCTTGGCGACCGAGTAATGAGGTGAGAGAATGGATCCCTGTTTCTTCACCGTGTGAGTCTTATGTGTCATTATTGATATGACTTTCATATATGTACCCTTTTGTGATTTTTGACTATGTCATAAGGTAAGGGGTTGATGTTCTGTTACTTTGGTATGTTGCATGCGGTCATGTATGATTCGGCCTTAAGGGACATCACTGGAAAAGCGGTCAATCCTAAACTAAATGACATGAGAGCAAAGGGAAGATCATCCAGTATTACACCACTGTTGTATATTCACTGCCGGCAACTCACATCGCTCTGTATGAGAGGCAGATTGAGTGTGAATATGTTGCAAGAACTGAGAGGGTCAAACATGCTCTTTTGAGGGATTAGAGATGTTTTTTTTTTTTTTGGACCAGTGTAATTAGATGGGTCTGGGGTATATGAGACACTATTTCTATTCTTTTTTGGGTTGATGTCTCTATGCTGGCTCATTTTGAGTTTCTAGTATAGAGCTCCCACATGCAGGTGTTCTCAGCAGTCGCACGGTGCATTGGCTAGTATGAGATTGTTCATTTTTGGAGAGATTGAGATAGAGATGTGGCAGTGTCATGCCAACTCATGTACGAGTGAGAGATGTTAGAAATTGGGTGCCCATTTGGCATGACCCTTTGAACCTATTTGAACCTGAACCTTTTGAACCTTATCCATGTAAGTTTGAATTTGAATTCAAAACTTATATGGATATCCATTTAAGATATCTATATCTATTATATCAATAGATATGGATAGATGTATAGATAGATATTGGTTGTTATATATTTGATTATATATATCTGATATGATGGAAAGAATATTAATATCAGATATACGTTATGTGGTTTTTACCCATAACCTTTTTCCCAGACTCTCTCTCCAACTCTCTCCCATATGAGAACGATCCAGCCTCTGCACTGTGACTTGTGTTGGTGATACTCATTTTGTAACATCACTCCACTGCTGGGTTGGTTGTTCACATCTTGGAAGCATGTGATTTACCCACGACATTCTTCATTTCAGGCTCTGCTAAAAGGTATGATTCCAAATTTTTCCCATTGCGTTATAATACTTTGAGTTACAACCTCTTTATAGAGAGGACTTGTTACATTCACCAAATACATTCATGTACTTTCCTAAATACGTTCACCAAAACACATTGAAGTTAACCAAATGACACTTCAAACTTTAAGATTCTAATACATAAACTAAACATTTTAATGTATCTAACATCAATTCTAAATTAAATTCCAACAAATTGCTCCTTAATTTTGAATTTCATCATTCCATGTTTTCTCAAAATGATTCTTCACTAGGATCAAATGCATCTTTTAGCTGCTTCTTCAAGTCTTCATTTTCAGCAAAACAAATTTATGTACGAGTCACATCTGCATACGAACTCGTTAAAGTTGATCTCGAGAATCTAAATTCCATAATGACTTTTCCAATTTTCAATTGCTTGAAATGCAGCTTGTAGCTTCTTTATTTGCTGTTTCTTTATTCCATAAATCCCCTTTTTCTTGTAACCATCTTCAACATTTGTTATGAAAGATGGTTTATGATCTGGTCCATACCTCTCAACTACATAACTTGCTTGTCGGGGAAGGTATTGGCAACTAAATATTTTTTAGTCACCAAAAGTCCTATAAACGGCGACTAATATTTTTAGTCGCCAAAAATAAAATTTTAGTCCCCAAAAATCTTATTTTCCGCTACTAAAACTTTGGTTGCCAAAACTTGAAGTATCTATGGTGACCAAAGTTTTAGTCACCAAAGGATTTTTTCATCTTTTCATCTTTTCATCTTTTAATTTTTTTCATTTTATTTTTTTTTAGCTACTAAATTCTTAGTCGCCTAAAGTCTGCTTTTATTTTAACTACTAAATATTTAGCAGCCGAAAGTTTTTCTCCATTTTATTTTTATTTTTAGCTACTAAATATTTAGTAGCCAAAAGTTTTTTTCCATTTTATAAATAAAATTATCTATATACTAATAAAATTAGCAACCATTCCACAACATACACACATTTCACTTTCAACCATTAAAAAAAATCATATTTAACATCAAATTAATATTTCCAAAACAAATTCTATACAAATCAAGTATAATACAATCTCAAAAATATAATTTCATACATAATAGAGGATTAAACAAAATTAATATCTAATTGCTAATTTGGCAAGAAACCAACTAATAAAAACACCAAAAACATAAAAAAAAAAAAACCAAAGGCCATGAAATAAAAAAAAAAAAAAAAAACTAGTGATGAAGCCAGCTGCAGTCCAACCCCCAAAGCAATTGCTGATGCAAAGTCGAAAGCTGAATACATAAATTAATATAGATTAGTAACATAGATCACAAACAGTTGCTAACAAAAGATAGCACAAACAGATACCTAATTTTTATCCATCATCAATTCACTGATCAACTTTTCTCATTTTATTCTCAAACCAAGTAGAAAATAATTATATAGAGCAGAAATGAGAAGGCATGCCAGAGTAATGACCATTCAAAAAATATATAGCATAATCAATAAGTTTCACCATTTACATTCTCTTGCATAAACCCATATGTATATTGTGCATAATGAGTTAATCTTCTGGGAAACTGTTAACAATTTCGAACATGCTTGAAGAATTAAAATATAGGTACATAAATTTTACCCATATGTATATTTAATTTAGGTGATTAAGACAGATACTAGAGCCAAACAAATGCTAGAGCCAAGTAGGTGATTAATCCAACATGTATCATCATATTTGACCTTGCTAGTAAAATAACTAGAGCAAGGAGCCATGCCTGCATAAACAAGACAGTTAATTATGTCAAAATTAAAACACAGTGAAATAAAAATTAAATAAGAAAAAAGAAAATAGCATTTAAAGAATAAAAGAACCAACTCAATTGCGGTAAAAACCACACTGCAAATGTTCGTAAAACAGTAGTTCAAGACTGAAGGTTAACTAATGCAGTGCTGATACCAGGACCCATATAAATTTACAAATTCAGATTTATAATGTATTTAATTAAAAAAAAAGGATTATCATCCATTAAATGGCCCATTCTTGGATCATCCAATAATAGATCCCCATAAACTACCCAATGATTTTGAGCATTTCCTGCATAATATTTTTAGAGCTTTTCCTGCAAAATATAGGAGTTTTATGTATAGTTTTATGGTGAACTCAAATTACTAAATATGCTTGATGGGTGAATGTCCAATTACATATGTTGGATATATATTCGATACCCTTCTTCAAGTTTCGAGACACTTAGACACAAACCCGCACTTAACACCCATAATCAAGTCCATGTAACATAGACAAAAGCAAACCTTAAACAATTCTTTTACATTTACAATAAGTGCCTTTGTTTGAAGAACAACCATTGGGCCATTTTGATCATTTTTAGTGGAGACTGAGTGGACACCAAAAGTTGTCCATGCCTTTTTTTTTTTTTTTTTGGGATTAGTTAAAGTTGTCCAGGTTTAATATGTAGTAATAGTGGATAGACAACAAAGTTTCAATGAAGCAAGGATTACTAGATTCTAGAAAAAATTTCAACCATTGTGCACCCAGAAACATAGTGACTCATGTGCTTTCCATTAAGGGTTATAGTTCCTTAAGGCATCTAGAAAACAACTATCCTCCAACAAACAATGGCAACCCCCAAAACATAACATATTCTTAAACAAGTTAGGTAACTAATTTCTCAAGCGTATGATTCAATTTTTTTTTTAGCAGTACCTGCATAGTGTCTCTTCTTTTAAGCAAATATTCCCAGATTTGATCACAATGGCCAAGTGCATATGAAAACATGAAAATATATCTAATGCATATGAATAGCAGCTCCAAGGTTCAAATAAGTCAGGATCTGCTAATCCTTAAGAAAATATCAACAACCCAACACCTGAGTCATATGCATATGAAATGCATCTACTTGCCCACCCATCAAGCATCCAATGCACTAACATGCATGAATCTCAACCCATTTTCATCCAGTTAAATTGATTATTACAAATTGCAATTAATTATTAAAACCCAATACAAAGCACGTAGGACATAATGCACAATAACTATTTTGGGACAAACAATGATATATTTATAGTAATGATCTGGCAACAGATAAGATAACACAGATAGTCAAAAGTAATAAGCTGGCATACCTAGATCCCAAACTTCAAACTTTATGTTGTTATATTGAACTGTTTCCACATTAAACCCAATTGCTGCATCAAATATATACACACAGAAATTAATCCACAAGTTCCAAAATAAGAAAATATGACACTTTAGAGTGAAGTATCAAACTTTCCACTTCTGAAAAAAAAAATGCAGTAAATCAACACTATAATTTTTAAATTAATTCAGCAAAAAAAATTTATGTACGAGTCACATCTGCATACGAACTCGTTAAAGTTGATCTCGAGAATCTAAATTCCATAATGACTTTTCAATTTTCAATTGATTGAAATGCAGCTTGTAGCTTCTTTATTTGCTGTTTCTTTATTCCATAAATCCCGTTTTTCTTGTAACCATCTTCAACATTTGTTATGAAAGATGGTTTATGATCTGGTCCATACCTCTCAACTACATAACTTGCTTGTCGGGGAAGGTATTGGCAACTAAATATTTTTTAGTCACCAAAAGTCCTATAAACAGCGACTAATATTTTTAGTCACCAAAAATAAAATTTTAGTCCCCAAAAATCTTATTTTCCGCTACTAAAACTTTGGTTGCTAAAACTTGAAGTATCTATGGTGACCAAAGTTTTAGTCACCAAAGGATTTTTTCATCTTTTCATCTTTTAATTTATTTTATTTTATTTTTTTTTAGCTACTAAATTCTTAGTCGCCTAAAGTCTGCTTTTATTTTAACTACTAAATATTTAGTAGTCGAAAGTTTTTCTCCATTTTATTTTTATTTTTAGCTACTAAATATTTAGTAGCCAAAAGTTTTTTTCCATTTTATAAATAAAATTATCTATATACGAATAAAACTAGCAACCATTCCACAATATACACACATTTCACTTTCAACCATAAAAAAAAACAAATCATATTTAACATCAAATTAATATTTCCAAAAAAAAATTCTATACAAATCAAGTATAATGCAATCTCAAAAATATAATTTCATACATAATAGAGTATTAAACAAAATTAATATCTAATTGTTAATTTGGAAAGAAACCAACTAACAAAAACACCAAAAACATAAAAAAAGTAAAGGCCGTAAAAATAAAATAAAAAAAAAAACAAGTGATGAAGCCAGCTGCAGTCCAACCCCCAAAGCAGTTACTGAAGCAAAGTCGAAAGCTGCATACATAAATTAATATAGATCGGTAACATAGATCACAAACAGTTGCTAACAAAAGATAGCACAAACAGATACCTAATTTTTATCCATCATCAATTCACTGATCAACGTTTCTCATTTTATTCTCAAACCAAGTAGAAAATAATTATATAGAGCAGAAATGAGAAGGCATACCAGAGTAATGACCATTCAAAAAATATATAGCATAATCAATAAGTTTCACCATTTACATTCTCTTGCATAAAGCCATATGTATATTGTGCACATTGAGTTAATCTTCTGGGAAACTGTTGACAGTTTCGAACATGCTTGAAGAATTAAAATATAGGTACATAAATTTTACCCATATGTATATTTAATTTAGGTGATTAAGACAGATACTAGAGCCAAACAAATACTAGAGCCAAGTAGGTGATTAATCCAACATGTATCATCATATTTGACCTTGCTAGTAAAATAACTAGAGCAAGGAGCCATGCCTGCATAATCAAGACAGTTAACTATGTCAAAATTAAAACACTGTGAAATAAAAATTAAATAAGAAAAAAGATAATAGCATTTAAAGAATAAAAGAACCAACTCAATTGCGGTAAAAACCACACTGCAAATGTTCGTAAACAGTAGTTCAAGACTGAAGGTTAACTAATGCAGTGCTGATACCAGGACCCATATAAATTTACAAATTCAGATTTATAATGTATTTAATTAAAAAAAAAAGGATTATCATCCATTAAATGCCCCATGCTTGGATCATCCAATAATAGATCCCCATAAACTACCCAATGATTTTGAGCATTTCCTGCATAATATTTTTAGAGCATTTCTTGCAAAATATAGGAGTTTTATGTATAGTTTTATGGTGAACTCAAATTACTAAATATGCTTGATGGGTGAATGTCCAATTACATATGTTGGATATATATTCGATACCCTTCTTCAAGTTTCGAGACACTTAGACACAAACCCGCACTTAACACCCATAATCAAGTCCATGTAACATAGACAAAAGCAAACCTTAAACAATTCTTTTACATTTACAATAAGTGCCTTTGTTTGAAGAACAACCATTGGGCCATTTTGATCATTTTTAGTGGAGACTGAGTGGACACCAAAAGTTGTCCATGCCTTTTTTTTTTTTTTTTGGGATTAGTTAAAGTTGTCCAGGTTTAATATGTAGTAATAGTGGATAGACAACAAAGTTTCAATGAAACAAGGATTACTAGTTTCTAGAAAAAATTTCAACCATTGTGCACCCAGAAACATAGTGACTCATGTGCTTTCCATTAAGGGTTATAGTTCCTTAAGGCATCTAGAAAACAACTATCCTCCAACAAACAATGGCAACCCCCAAAACATAACATATTCTTAAACAAGTTAGGTAACTAATTTCTCAAGCGTATGATTCAATTTTTTTTTTTTGCAGTACCTGCACAGTGTCTCTTCTTTTAAGCAAATATTCCCAGATTTTATCACAATGGCCAAGTGCATATGAAAACATGAAAATATATCTAATGCATATGAATAGCAGCTCCAAGGTTCAAATAAGTCAGGATCTGCTAATCCTTAAGAAAATATCAACAACCCAACACCTGAGTCATATGCATATGAAATGCATCCACTTGCCCACCCATCAAGCATCCAATGTACTAACATGCATGAATCTCAACCCGTTTTCATCCAGTTAAATTGATTATTAAAAATTGCAATTAATTATTAAAACCCTATACAAAGCACGTAGGACATAATGCACAATAACTATTTTGGGACAAACAATGATATATTTATAGTAATGATCTGGCAACAGATAAGATAACACAGATAGTCAAAAGTAATAAGCTGGCATACCTAGATCCCAAACTTGAAACTTTATGTTGTTATATTGAACTGTTTCCACATTAAACCCAATTGCTGCATCAAATATATACACACAGAAATTAATCCACAAGTTCCAAAATAAGAAAATATGACACTTTAGAGTGAAGTATCAAACTTTCCACTTTTGAAAAAAAAAATGCAGTAAATCAGCACTATAATTTTTAAATTAAAAATTTTATCAATTTGTAAATCATGAATCCGATGGTCTCCAATCCCCTGATCTTCTTGGCAAACAAAGAAAGATTATGCAAACAAAAAGAAACCAAGAATGAGTACCAACTTGGAATTATGAAGACAACTTCACCCATCTGAAGCTGATCTGCACAAAAAAATGAAATCGAGTTACTCAATTATCAAAATTGGGGAGAACCCAGTTGACAGAAAAAGGTAAGGGCAGAATCAAAGAATCATACCGAGAATTGTGGTTTTTCCAGCATTGTCAAGACCAAGAACGAGGATCCGAGCTTCTTTGTTACCAAAAAGCGAAGAGAACAATCGAGTAAACACAATCCCCATTTTTCTTCTCCCTTAGATGGAGAATCAAAAGGACCAATCAGATCTTTAAGATCCCCACAAGAAACCTCTGAATATTTTGAGAGAGAGAGAGAGAAAGAGAGCATAGGCGAGACGGAGCATCAATGGCGTAGAGTTCATCTCAGCGATGAAGCCTCTGGATCTCACGGCAGTAGCAATGGATCTGTGAAGATCGGAGGAGGAGGAGGCGGCGGCGTGAAAAGATCGGCAATACTCACAATGACGATGGCAATGGCGAAGGAGGAGGAGGTGCTCCGGTTTCCAGCGAAGGCGAGGAAGAGTGGCAGTGAGAGAAGGAGGGAAGAGGAGTAGCGGAGACGAGGAGGGAGAGGGACGCCGAAAATATATATATAGAGAGAGAGGCGCTGATTATTTTAGGGTTTGGTTTGGTACAATATATATATATATATATCATTTTACACAATTGACGACTAAAATACCTAATGGTCGCCAATTAATTTTTTAAATCCATTCAAAATTTGAAAGGTCTCTAAAATATATCATCTTTGGCGACTAAAGTATGTTTTGGTTGCCAAAGATAAAAGTAATTATTTTCTTTTATTCGGTGACTAAATAATTTTAGTAGCCAAACCTAACTCTACAGCGACTAAAAAAAAATTTTGTTGCTGAAAATAAATTTTTGGCGACCAAATTTTTAGCTGCCAAAGATAAAAATAATTTTATTTTTTCAATTCGGCGACGAAATCATTTTGGTAGCCAAAAAGACTCTACAGCGACTAAAAGAAAATTTTGTCGCTGAAAATATATTTTTGGCGACCAAAGTTTGATCACCAAAGATAAAAAAATAATTTTTTACTTTCCATTCGGCGACTAAATACTTTTAGTAGCCAAAACTCAATATACGGCGACTAAATTTTTTTTAGTTGCCAATTCTGGAATTTTTAGCAACTAATTTTTTTTTAGTCACCAATAATCAATATATGCCAACTAAAAAAAATTAGTAGCTAAATATTTTACTTTTGCCAACTAAAAAAATTATTAGTCGCGAATTCCCCAACTTTTGGCGGCTAAATTTTTTTTAGTCGCCAAATGTGCATTTGTTGTAGTGGAAACACTTGCTCAACGGGTCAAATCCTAATGAATTTGTAGGCACACACATGTAGAGAGTATTAGACAAAAAAAAAAACTTAATTTTTGTTTTCTTCTTTTTCTTTTGGACCATCCGATCATATACTCTTAACTCACAGAAATTGGAAAAAAACAAAGACTCAGTTTTATATATATATATATATATCAAATCCTAAATGTCGATAAGAAGAACTCAACTCAAACCCATTTGCAATCAACCTCACTTTGATACCATGTTGAAACTATAAGAGAATTTGGTTCCGATTAGGAACTCTCAATAGATTTATGGACGCTAGCAAGCATGGCAGACATTAAAAATAATAAGACATAACTCACTCATATGTTGAACATAGGCTTCTTAATTGCTATGTGTAGGAAGGTTTGATGTGAGCAGTGATTAAGAGAATAATTAGAGAGGCAAAACTATGTTAATGGTCTAATAAAGATAGAATGGTTGGAGGATGAGTTAACAAAACTCTAGGGAAGTTGGAGAATGAGCAGTTAGGTGAAGGTGGAACAAGTGGCTCAAGAAGAAGATAATGTCCCCCAAATTCCCAGGAAATCCACTTTTCGACATTGGGAAATGGCTCCTATTTATAGGCTTTTCCTTGGTACCAAAGGATACGAAGTGGCAAAATAAAATAAGGACATGTGTCCTTAAGAATCACATGGAATATTCTACCTTGGGCCACTAGGCTGAAGGTGCCATGTGTCCCTCTGCATGTACTGTGTACTATCTATTTGGCATAAATGCCTTAGCAAGTGCACTTGCGGTGGGAGTGTTTGCCGCTACAACTTGCCTCCTTGGCCTGAACCTCAGAGAATGCACTTGTGATGGTAATGTTTGTCACTGCACTAGCCTTTTTAGTTCAGTTTAGCCAAGACATGCATTCTTAGGATTTTATAGCCTGTTACCAGCCGTGTTTTCGTGTTCATTTCAACGAAGCCTCCACTCTTAGCCACCTAACCACAAACTCCCCAGCTTCCGAGGGCGAAGGCCACAACCAAGCGTACTATCAGCCATGCTGTGCCTTAGTACCAACCCCAAAGGGGCTTCCTTGGTCCTGCCTATGTGACCAAGGCAAGTCTATGACTTTGGTGGATGGAAAGTGAGTCCCTTGTACACGGGCTGCCCTACTCCCATCTTCGCAGAGTCACCGTGGTATACTGGTTTCTCTGGGCCAGCTATCAGCTCTAACTAGTAAGCTTTGGGGCTTGCTATCAGCGCTAGGCTAGTAATACTTTGGGGCCTGTTACCAATGCCAAGCATTAGCCTCTATTTGTGGAGGGAGAGCTTCTTTCAAAGGCTACTATCACCTTAGTGGGGTGTTCCCTTCGCAAGTTATGTAGTTGTCGCGGTGGTTATTTCCCGTGGCAAGTTCAAATGGTGGTGTCGACAATACTAAAGATGGTGGCTATTTCAGTCCTGCTATGCTTAAGCACTCGTGGAGACCACCCCTTCGACCCTACATCTTTAACTATCACAGAGTAGACTGCTGTCACCGCCCTTCAAAGTGCTTTTCACAAAGCATGAAAATATGGTTCTTTGTATGATCTAAAAATCGGAGAGGTACTTCTACAGAGGCCGAAGAGGGACAAGACAACATACCTTTCTTGGTTAATTATGACACCTTACCCATTCCAAAGTGATGTCAGACAACATCACTTTGGGTATGCCAAACCTACAGATGATGTTTTCGTTGATGAAGTTGGCCACTCCCTCGCCATCTGCTTTTCTTATTGGCATAACTTCTACCCATTTGGTACTGACTTCGGTCACTGCAAGTATCCATCTATGGCCTTTAGACTGTTGTGCTATAGGGCCTATTAAATCAAATACCCAAGTGTGAAATGGATAAGGTGTCTTGATATTGTATAGCTTGACTGTTGGCGCATGTATTAGATTCCCAAACTTCTGGCAAGATTGGCATCTTCTTACAAAGGTCTTGGTATCCTCCTTCATCGTCGGCCAATAATAGCTGAGGTGAATAAGGTGCTCGTACAGTCGCTGTCCTTCTTGATACGCTATCTTGTGGGCTTCCTTCAACACTTAATTTGCCTCATCTTTGATAAACATGCCAAAGGTACCCCTTCGAAGTTTCTCTAGTACAGCTTTCTTCTGTCAAGAAAGAAACGGGAGCCCTGCCTCTTAGCTCTAATTGCATCGGCTTTGTTCTCAGGCATTGTGCCATTTTCAAGATAGTCAATGTATGGCTGTTTCCATCCTTCACTGCTTAAGAAATGGCTTCTTATTCTTTAGGATGAGATTGGCATTTCACACATTGCCTCTGCAACTCAGTGCTTTTATTTTCCATCCCTACCCAGTAATACCCATGCCTTTGTATCCGTCGGTATAGGTTGATATCTCTGTCTCCGCAAGACTTAGCATGGATCTACTAGAGTCTATAAGTTGCCTCTTGTCCACCGACACACCTTGCTAACAGATTGTTACGGCCACGAAAATATAACTCTCCTCTGAAGAGCAAGACTGATGCAAGTTCTGTCAGTCTGATAGTTCTTTGGCCTGTTTTCAGTTGTTGGATTATGTCCTCTTTGCATCTCTCAACATCTTGCTCTGTACGTATCTCAGCTAATACTACTGGTGTTGTTCTTTTCTCGATGACGATGGCTATACTATCGTTTGGTATATCCACCTTTGCCCCAAGTGTAGCTAAGGCATTGGGAAAACACTTATGTGTTCAGGGGGTATGTTGCATCTGGACATCATCGAACTGAGTAAGTAACTTTTGAACTACGGTGCAGTATGGAGCCAAAAGAGGTTCCTTTAAGGCAAAATCACCAAGTGTTTGCTTTACGACCAACTTAAAGTCACCCTAGATTTTCAGTTTGCGGAGGCCTTTCTTTTGAGTGGCAATTAGGCCTAATATCAATGCCTCATATTCAGTCTCATTATTCGAACATTCAAAGTCAAGCTTGTATGATAAGTGGAATTTCTCTCCACTTTGAATTGTTAGTGTTACGCCAGCTCCACCTTTCTCGGTCCCAGAGGCTCCATTAAATTTTAGGTCCTAATAAGCCTCGATTGCTGCTGGTGATATCTGGACCACACTAAGTGGAGATATCTTTGCGGGTTCATGTTCGCTAGACAGGAATTGTGCTAGCAGGCCAGCAAGCGCTTGGCTCTTGATAGCCCTTGGTGTAATTTACATGATGTCATACTTTGCTAAGGCCAACATCTATCTCGTCATTCATCCAGTCAGAGCAGGCTTGCTCAGTAAGTTATAGATTGGGTCACTCCTGGTCACAACCTCAATCGAGTGTGCCAAAAAATAATGGCGTAACTTTTGCGCTGTGAAGATTAAGGCCAAACAATGCATTTCAATTGGGATATATCGTGATTCAGCACCATTGACTTTGCGACAGATGTAATAGACTGGCTTCTTAACGCTATTTATGTCTTAGAAAAGTAAAACTCCAATAGACCAACGTGTAGAGTTAAGGTAAAGTGGCAGAGTCTTCTTTTCAGGTTGTGGGTCAATCATTGTTAGTGGTGAGGTAAGTGCTTTCTTCAGCATATAAAAGGCCTGTTGTTGTTTTTGTCACCATTCAAACTTGTGATTTCCTTTCAGCAGTGTCCCAAAGGAAAAGGCTATCGTAGCAAGGGCTGAAATGAACCACCTGAGGTATGACGCTTTGCCTAGGAATTTCTTCAAGGCTTTTTGAGAGTGTAGCAGTGGCATCTCTATGATTGATTTGATCTTATCTCCGTCTACGTCAATCCCACATTAGTGTACCAAGAACCATGGAACTTTCCTGCGGTAACTCTGAAAGCACATTTGAGAGGGTTCATTTAAGCAGAATTTCTAACAACATTGAATTTTTTTCCTCAAGTCGAGGAGGTACCAGTTCATTTCAGTAGATTTTACCATTAG